ATATCTACTCGGCCTGGACCACCTTCCCGTTGATTGTGAAGACGCAACGCCGGGGCCGCAATGCGGAGGGCTCAACCTCGGACAAGTGGATGGGCAACATTATCCAGATGAGGAAGGAGGCGGCGCCCCTCCTGGAGAGCCTGGGCATCCCCAAGCCGCACAGCAAGGAGGAGTGGAGTTACATCTTCAAGGAGATGGGGACATTCTTGGCGGCAAAGAATTTCATCGTGAACTGCCCGTTGCCCGTGATGGAGATGCCGGTGGCCCCCATCCATGACAGTAAGGAGGCGCTGCGGTTCAGGGCAATTTGCGACGAACGGATCACCCTCCCGCTGGCCTCGCTGAAGGCTTTCGACTCGGTCTACACCAAGTTGGTGGCGGGCCTGAGCAAGTCGTCGATGGTGGAGGTGAAGGTCAATTGGCGCTGCAATGTGGTCCACGACTGGGTCGAGCAGGTCCCGCAGGAGGCGGCGGGGGCCTTGTATGGGCTACTCCCAGGACCTCATCCGGCAGCTGGGTTGCTCCCCCCCCTTGGGTGCCGTTGGCCCCGGGGGGGGAGCGGCCAAGGAGGCGGACCCAAAGGCCAAGGTCCTGGGGGGGGCAGACACCCCCCAGACCAGGGCACCAGGCGGTACCCGCCCATCACCACAGCCACGGTGACGGCAGTCGCGGGCGAAAAGTACGTCAACAAGCACTTTTTTAAGGAGGCGAAGCATGTGTTTTGGGGCTCCGTGGAGTGTGGCTTGGTCTTGCCAAGCATCAGTGCCTGGGAAGTGGTGAGCAAGGAAAAGTTCAAGACCACGGGGGGGCTATATGTGCAGATTTTGCAAGGGCTTTTGGAAGGCGAGCCGCGGGGGGACCAGGCTGCTCCAGATCACGGGGTGGCACAGGGATAAGGCCACCTGCTTGCAGTTGGTGATGGACGAGCCCCCGGAGCAGCTGTACAATCAGTGGATCCGCGATCGGATGGAGTTCTACAAGAGGGTGGAGCCAACGGAGCCTCCCAGGGATGAGCGGCTGGTCCTGGGCGACGCGAGCACCCCCTGCATGCGCTTCAGCTCCTCGAACGGTCTGGGGGATGTCTCCACGGCCTTGTGGTCGGTCATCCTGAGCGGGGCTGGCGGCAATCCACTCGGTGGCGAAGGAGGCGATCCTGAAGGGAGGGAGCCGCTAGGTTTTGTCTCACAACCCTGTCGGATGTGGGAGTCGTGTGATCTCTTCCTCCCGGGACTTGGGTGCCATTGGCCCCGTCTCCGGGGGGGGGGGGGAAATGTCTTCCTTATTGCTCTCTTATTCCATTTTGGTGGCGCACGTGGGTTTTTCCGGTTGCATGGCAGTGGAGCTACGTCACGGCAGCTTGGTCTCCTCGACCATGAGGCCACATGCATTAGCTGCCCCAAGGGCCATCTCAGCCACGGTTCGGAAAAAGTGGCTGCGGCCGACTCATGGTTTGAGGTTTTGGGGAATCCCCCACCTGGTCGGTCTCCCCCTCCATGCTTTTGGGGGGTTTCTGGGGGGTTGATTTTGGGTCGCGCTCCCCCCTCTCCCTGTTAAAATCTCGGGGACTTTGGGGGGGACATGTCGGGATGCGTGTGGCCTGCCTGCTCCATCTGCACTCTGCATTCTGCAAGGTTGGAGCATGCATGCATTGTGCAGCGGTTGGGTCCCGGCGGTTCGATGGGAGGCTCAAAACCCCCCTTTTTCATCATGGCTAGGGTATCTACCAAGTTTCTTATGCGCCCGCCCTACACACGTCTTTGGGACCGCATTCCAAGGGTCCTATGGGACACGTTGGCGGATGAGTCCTTCTCCCCGAGACAGACGGACGGGGAGCTGTTGGTCCTGATGTGCCTGCGCCAAGGCACTGAGGAGGAGGGGAGGAAGCTGGGCGGAGAGCCGGCAATCCGCTTCTCTCAGCTCCTGGAACTCTCGGGCATTCCGGTAGGACAAGACGCCCACGTGGTCCCGACGGAATACTTCAACGGCCTGGTGGCGGCGGCGGCAGGCAGGCTTCCCCAGCCTCTGTCCGCGGCGGACCTGGCCGACCTGTGGGACAGCATATGGTTCCTCCTCCTGGCGACGGCGGATGGCAAGCCGAGCGAGGACTTTTCCCCGCTGGAGAATGAATGGGACCGCCAGGACCAATTGAGGTGGTTCTCACGAGATGACCCACCCCCACTCCAACAACCGGAGCTTCTGAAGTGGAGGCACTGGCGCCCGGGCAAAATAAGGGAAATGGAGCCCACGACCCAGCGAGCGCTGGAGCTCCATATGCGCGAGAAATGGGCGGAACGGCTCCTCGCCCACTTTGCCCCGTTTGCGGAGCACATCACGTACATGCAGGACATCCTGGGGGAGGACTTCCGCAAGGAGGCATTGGACCTCCTGGGGGACAATAGGTTCCGGACACTCAGGCAGCAACGACATGTCCGCTCTCTCCTCAACCAGCTCGCCGAACAGGAGGTCACCCCGTACAAGCTACGGCAGGTGTGGAACACCCTCAAATGGTATTCCAAGACCTTCGGTATGCTGAAGATAGACGAGCTCCATCGCCTCAAGTCCAAGAAGAGCTTGTTGGAAGAGGCACTCACGGACCAGCGCAAGGCGGTGGTCCCCAGCAAAGAGGTCATATGGGCTCTGGAGGAAGGGGCTGGCTACGATCACCTGGGTGCCACCGGCCCCGGTACGCAGGCGGCCCCGGGGAGGAGCAGACACGAGGTACTGGACGCATTCATCCTGGGTTTCGCCCGGTTCCAAGTAGGGTGCAGCGCTCGTTTCAATGACCTCCAGCATGTTCACCCTAAGGACCTGATCCACACCAGTAACACCGTGGAGCTGAAGGCCTGGCAGACCAAGACGGTCTCAGCAGCACAAATCAACCGCAACCCGGTCCCCTTGATTGCTCCGAAGTACAGCTTCACAAGGATCCCCTGGTGGACTACCTGGGTCAGCAGACGTCTATGTGCGGGAGAAGCGCAATGTCGTTGTGGAGATTTGGGGCCAGGTAGCGCAGAAGGTCCCCAACCTGAACCTCGGGCCAGGCAGGGAACGCAGGGAGGACTTGAACCACCCGGACTGGGCGGACCCGCTCCCGCCGCCAGCGGTGGAAATCACGGATGCGGGACCGGACGGCCACAAGGACCAAACTGAAGGGGAAGGGGAGCCCCCACGGTACCTTCAGGGAGCGCACCATCGACTCGCTCATGGTCATTGGTGGAACAGGGACCCGAGGACACACCAGTGAAGGCCAAGGACCTGTTTCCCCCCACTTCCCCCTTGTGGGTGAACAAGGTAGGCACATACGGCATGGCCAGTGCCCAATCCTACTGGGGACGCCTGGCAGCCCTTCTACTCAGGGTCCTCTACTCAAGTGGATTGGAACTTCGTCTTTGTGGATGACTTCCTGTGGCTGCTTCGCAGCAAGGGGGCAGTGAACTTGGCGGTGGCGCTGTTGGCAACACTCCTGGCCTTGGGCACCCCGCTTAGCTGGAAGAAGACACATTTGGCGGAGGTCAACACGTGGCTGGGCTTCGTGGTCCACCCGAACATCCCGCAGGTTCTCATGGCCGCCAACAAACACATCCTGGTGATGGAGGTCTTGCAGATCATGGTGGAAGGGCAGGCGATGCACTCAAAGGACATCGAGAAGGCCCTGGGCCGCATCCAATGGGCAACTGCTGCATGTCCGCTGGCGAAGTCGATGCTTCAGCCACTGTGGGCCTGGAAAATGGCCACCACCACGGTGGGGAAACCCCCTAAGGTGGTCAGGATGCTGGCGTTCATGCTGCGGTTCCTCTTCAACACGCCCTTCGTCCAGTACTCCCCTTACTTGCCGAAGTCCTCTTGGTGGGGTTGCAGCGATGCTAGCGCCTCGGATGAAGGACTGGCATTTGTGGGAGGCTGGTGCTCCAACAAAGTGGAGCCGGAGAAGAAGGAGGTGTACTGGTTCCACGAGCAGATCCACGTGGAGGAGTACCCGTGGGCATTCAAGAATGGGGATCCCAAGCGGAGGATTGCGGCTCTGGAAATGCTGGGCACGCTCTTCCTCTGTAACATGATCCTCACGCACCAAGGCCCTCTGTCCTCCCGGGTCCGACTCCCGGTGGGCAGTGACAATCAGGGCAACGTCATGGCGATGCTCAACCTTGGATCCAAGAAGCCCTACACCGCGGCTATCCTGATGGAGCTGGTCTTCCTGCTCCACACCCATGGCTGCTCGCTGGCGGCCAACCACGTGCCCCGGGAATTCAACCAGTGGGCCGATGAGCTGACGCACCCAGATTTCTCTGGGTTCGACCCTTTGCACAGAGTCCCTAAACAGGAACTCTGCGAGGAGTTCATTTTTCTCCCGCGTCTCCTGAATGGAGATGCATTTGATCTTAGCGTGGGCCCACCCATGCTCCCGTGACCGGAGCCGGTGGGTGACTCACTTCCCCTGGTGGCAGACCCCCCTGTGGCCCGGGTGCCCTGGCCCCGGCCCAGGGGCGGGCGCTATCAGTCTGCACACCCGTTCTTCAGTTTTTGAGAGTGGGTGGCCCATGGGGCCCACCCAGCCGTAGACATCTGACAGGGGAAGATGAGTCCCTGGCACCAACACATTGCTTGGATAAAAGAGTTATCGCTTGCTTGTGTGGTGCCGTTTGGTTAGCTTACATACACAAAAATACAAACAAAAAACAAGCGTCACATACGAACCGCTCTGGGCTGGTTGTTCCTCTCTTGAAAGTCGCCTTGGTAAAAACAGGCGGCGCTCGCTTCTGTAAGTGAATAAATTTGGGGAAGGTTCTCGCAAAACTGGAAGAGCCATATCCTGGGCCCATCCAGCTTCACCCAATCCGAATCCAAGCGCCAGAGTCAGTTGTCGGGTTTGGAGTTGCATCCAACGGGTGTGTCTCTCTTTCCTTTTGGACCCGCAGAATTAATTGGTAATTGTTCTTTGGGTTTCCCTGTGCAGCCAATCGAATCGGATGTGTGGGGAGCTTTGCTTCTGGGCTCCTGCCATGGCTCCGATCTGTGGCATCGGCGCAGCCGAGTCAGTGCCCCTGAAGGACGAGAGGATCTTGAAGCGAAAGGCCCGGCCGCGTCCATGTGGCGGCGGATTCCTACAGCTGCAACTAGCTAAGTCCAGTTGTCACGGGTTTCCCCGAGCTGAAGGCTACTTGTAGTGATTTCGGTGGTTGTACGAAGGTAAGGTCATCCCGGTGCTGTTTCAGGTGCTGGTGCAAGTGCCAATGTGCATGTTGCTGGGTGTTTGATGCGGAGTGGTGCAAGTCTGGGCGGTGGGCCCGGATTGGCTATTCAGGTCAATCTTGGTGTAATTACTTGCTGGTGGTCGAATGTCCAAGAGTAGTATTGTGAGAGCCTGCTTCTGCGATATCAGGGAAGCTCCTATTTGTGACTAGGCCTTTGCGGAAAGCACCGTGTTGCTAGGCATGAGTCGCGATCCAAGCGGGGGCGACTGCATGTCTGCGCACCTGCGGGTTTTCGTTCTGTCTCGGCAGGTCGTCTTCCGGGACCCGCCGCTGTGCCCCTGCGCGCACGCGTGCAGCCTGCGGGGCTGTCCCTTCCGCCACGACCGGCGGCTGCTGCCGGAGATCACGCGCGTGCCGCCGCCGCAAGGAGCGTTTGGAAGCTCGCGCTGCGGCAACGACGACTGCTACGCCCCGGCGGCCAAGGGGAAGTTTTGCTGCAACCCCTGCGAGGCCGGCGAGGGGGCGCCCAAAATGGCACAACAATTTTCCCGTGAGCTTCCCTTGAAAGGAGCCCCAAAAAGGGATATGATACATAAAAATAGGGAGGATGTCTTTCATAGTGCTGCTTTGGCTTGCTCTTTAAGTGCGATTTCTGTGCGGGTTTTCTTCAGGCGGAGTTTCGCGGGGGCCTGCGGCTTTTCACCCCCTGCCCGGCGCACAGCGGGCCCTGCCGGGCGGCCTCCTCCTCCCGGCATTGTGCGGCCTGTCCGGGCGAGGACGGCGACGCGCGCGCTGGAGGTGCCAAGCGCAGGAGAAGCTGAGGTTCGCCGCCGGAGGAAGCGTAAACAAATGCGCAGGACGAGCAATCAGAGCCTTTGATTGGAGGTGTTGCCGCGGCTTGGAGACAAAGTTGGGTTCGCGGATTCTTGTAAGCATCTTCTCTGCAGTGTCGAGTCCAGCTCAAGATGGCGCCTGACGAGAAGTTCCAGCAACCAAGCGAGTTGGAGGCATTTGCCAAGGCCATCTTGCAGCCGCGTTGCGCAGAGGAAAAACAAATGCCAAGGGCTGCAGACTCCAAGGGTCGTGCCATCCGCGTGTCGGGGCAGCGCTTGGAGCTTGGCCTCTTTTTTATATTTTTCCAGAGTCAAGCCGCTAGCAGGAAGCATTTGGGCACAGCCCCGACTTTTCCGCGCTGAGACCTGGGCCATTTGTCAGAGGGTGCGGAGGACCGGCGTATCGAGCGGCCACGGGGTCCAAAAGGAAACCAGTTGGATGGTTTACGAGGGTTCCCTCAGCTGAGAAGCAAGACAGTTTCTTGAATTTCGCAGGGGGGCTCCGGGACTCTCTAAGTTCCCACAAGACCCACACGAGATCTGCCTAGGGTAACTTTCGCAGCCTCACGGATCTACCAGTAAAGAAGCCAGCGGGCGGGCCGGCGCGTGGCGCGTGCGCCAGCCGCTCGCAGGATTCTGTGGGGTGGTCACAGGCGCGGGCCGTGAACGCAGCTTGTGGAGCGAGGGGACTTTCGAGAGTACCAAATCCACGCGAATTGGTGGCTGGCAAATCTTCCCACTGCACCTCCCCGTCCCCAAAAAGTGGTCCTCCGGTGGTGCACTTGAAGCATTTAAATTTGTGTTTTTTTGTGCAACTGGGAGATGACACAAAACGTTCGACACCAGCTAAAAAGGTGTCGACAGCCAGGGTTTTTAAAAAACAACAAATAGGAAAAAATAAGACATGACTTCGCTTCGATCCCCACCCTCCACACTCACGAGCTTACGACCGTTACAACAAATTCCTGTGCATCCCATAAATTCTAACAACCCCCACCCGACAGGAGGGGGAACAAACGAGGTGGACGGAAGCCGAGCTGCAGATCCTCCTGGACGAGGCCTCCACGACTCTGCGGCCCAGGTGCGGTCTCCGGGGGAGGTCTCCGGCTGAGGACATCTGACTTGGAGGTTTCCCTGGAGCGGTTTTCCTGGAGTCCTGGAGTGGGAATCTTGAATCTTGAATATTTTACCTCCCAAAGGGATTTTTTGAGCGCCTTTTCTTGGCGTGGCTAGCCCTGGATTCGAGATTCAAACCTCGCCACATTGACATTGTTCCAAACGGAGCCTGAGGCATTGAGACCGTTGGCGGAACCCGGCGAGGGCTTTTTGACATGGTTCCGTCGCTTTTTTTTTTGGGTTTTCTTTTGCGACCCCGGTGTTTGGCGCAGGTTTCTCGTGCTCTCTTTTTAGCTTGCTTTTCCTGCTCACTGGTTTCACATGCTTTCGGCTTGCGAGCTGCGTTTCGCGCGGCTCCGTCTCGGTTTGCCTGCGACGCGATATGTCGGCTTGCCTCCAAGCGCCTCGATGCAAGCCGCGTCTTTATTTTTGCGCGCCAGTTGGAAGAAAATCTCGGAGCGGCTCCAGGCCGGGGCCAGATTAGCCAAAGTCTATGGAGGGAGAGGACTCACGAACATATGACCTTGAGCCGTTGAATTTGGCTTCCTGAAAGGCTCAGACTTCAGCAATTCCCTGGTGGACTTGCTGGCTGCTCCATGTTTGGATTTCGTTCTGCCCAGGAAAGTGATTGGACACCTCTGGCCCGCTGTTCACAAAAGCGTCTGCTGTTTCTCGTGAGATGTTCAGTGTGGATTTTCCTTTGGGGTCTCGGATCGAAGGTGTTGGATTGATCGAATCCTTCATTTGGCTGCGTGTTGGTTTCAAACGGAAACCGAAAGGCAAAAACCTTTGCGTGCTTCACGGAACTTGAGAAAGATCGCCCCTTTCCCCGCAAGAGCCAAATATCTGCAAGCGGATTTCCCCCCATTTCCGGTTTCGAGACCTCGAGTCAAGTCGATGGGATGGGCGCTTTCCGCTTTTCGATCAGATGCGTGTGGGTGAAAAAAAATAACCAAAAAACATATCAGGGTATGGACCTGGACCGCAGGTGGTCCAAGTTTCCGTAGGGCAACCCATTTTGGGGTTAATTTCATGTTTTATGGACCGCAGGTGGTCCAAGTTTCCGTAGGGCAACCCATTTTTGGGGTTAATTTCATGTTTTATGGACCGCAGGTGGTCCAAGTTTCCGTAGGGCAACCCATTTTGGGGTTAATTTCATGTTTTATGGACCTGGACCGGTGGTCCAAGTGTCCGTCCAGGGCAACCCATTTTGGGGTACCCGCAGATCAGCCCGGCCATTTGGACTCCCAGATCAACCCCTCCACCTGCCACGACAAGTACCGGGACCTCTGCAAAGGGCACCGCACCTTCGGGCGCTGGACGGAGGCGGAGGACCCCGACCCGGAAGCGGCAAAGCGGACGCGGGCAGATTTTTTTGTGGCGCCTTCTTTTTCATCGGGGGTTTTCCCGCATGAAACTGGGTTCCTCGTGGTTTCCCTGCAAACCACACCAAAAAGGGGGCCCGGAAAAAAAGGAAGAAGAAGAAGAAGAAGAAGAAGAAGAAGAAGAAGAAGAAGCAGAAGAAGAAGAAGAAGAAGCAAGAGACCCGCAAATATGAGGAATCCTGCATCCCCACTCCAACATGCCTTTGGAGCATATCCCCTTGATTCTCTTCATAGGATGTGCGATGTGTGAAGGAAATGATGTGTGGTCGGGCTGGATGTTGGGGGTGATAGGCGAATCGACGTCAAGAGACACGGGAAGCCACGCGGGGTCCGATTTTGCTAGTGGAAACGAGCTAAAACGGCGGAACCTTGCCAACCAAATGTTGCACGCCAAATTCCAGATCTGGCTAGACTCTGTACCAGGTGCTTTGAGTGATCTCAAGATCGTGACTGTCCGATCGATCTGTTTTGTTTTGTTCTTTCTTTTTTTCTTCAACAAGTCGCGTGTTTTCCGGGTTTCCTATGAACCAAGCATTCTCTTCAGAGCCACCGGAGGGAGGAGAGAGTGATTTGCAAAGTCAACTGGTTTTAAATCTGCTGTTGGTTCAACATCGTTTGGGTGATGTGCAGGCCCAACATGCACTCACGAGTTAGAATCCGTTCACACACACATGCCTTGCAATGCTCGCTTTGGGAAGAATTCAAGCCGAGCTTAATTTGTTTGACCGCTGTCCCTCGGCACGGGCCTGCAGAATTGCAGAATCAGCTCTTCCAAATCAGTTTTTCCATCAAAGCTGTTTTACTTCAATCGCGGGAGCGATTGCAGCCAAGGAGCATGCCGTGCAGGGAACGCGATTCTTGGGAGGTGAGGGGAGTTAGAGCTGTTGGGGGCGGCCTGAAGCAATCGATCGCCGGGAGTTTGCAGCAACAAATGTGGCCCGCAAGTCTTCCAAACACCAGACGCATTCTGTAGGCTTCCTTGTAGGCCCTGCCAGATTTGTTTCCCTAGACCGGGAAGCCCCGAAAAGCAGCAAGCTAACATGGAGTCAAATCGGGAGGCAATCCTCAGCTCAACATGAAAGAAAGGAGTTGACTCCTTTCCGAAATCCCGGAGAACCTGAGAATGTGGCAGAAAAAAGAAAGAAAACTCCAGAGTCAATTCCAATCATGCTTTTCAAGAGGCTCAGCTCCCAGGAGGAGTTCGTTTCACTCGTTTTTCCGGGGGCCCGTGAACCGACCTCTTGCAGGTAGCCCTTCACATTTCGTGTTGGGATTGCCAATGCAATTGAAGCTAGCGATGCAGATCTCGCACGTTTTCGCAAAAGGTTGTTGCTCAGTCAGGACTGGACTCTGCGCATGGCAATCTGCGAGACGACAGATAGCACCCGCCTCAGCCGCCAGGTGTGAGTGGCGACACTGAGTTTTGACATGAACTGGGGGAGGTATGTCATTCAGCATGCTCAGCCGTCCAACACATAATGGGGTTGAGAGCTCGGGGTGCTTCAGGCTCAGTGTCTTAGTTGCTTGCATTGGCTTTGCTTCTCGTCGCTGTTCTCGAAATCGATGCCTTATGCGGGCACTTCCGCTACTTTAATCAATGCAGATCCAGCCCATGTTCCCTTGAAACAAGAAGCAGCTTGTTGCTTGGTTGTTGCAGGAGGGAATAGATCCTCAGACCCGCCCGCAAAGCAAAAAACACGAAGACCAAGACCAACAGAGTAAGACTAAGACTCGTGCTATACGACACTGGGACCACCGAGGAATTGGGACGCCACTGTCTGCCCATCACCCCAACCCCCGCAGCCAACGGCTTCGGGAAACCCGTTTTCGCCGTAGGCCTGGTGCCACGGTCCATGATCCCATGGAGTCAGGCGGTGGGATTTTTGGTGTGGCAAAGGAGAGCCGCTGCACCATGTTGGGAAAACGTTGGTCCCCCACAAGGCCAAATGACACAGCAAATGACACACGCATTGGTTCAGCAGGTCTGAAGCTTTTTGAGGCGTTTTGGGAGTTGACAGAGAGAACATTCCCGGAGCCAGCCAGCCTTGCATTCCCATGCAAGTTGATGGATTGGACTTTGGCCTGATGAATGGCTAATAGGCACTGAACTGGCCGAGTTTGCTTCGCTGACATGAATGGCCGGTACAGATCAACGCAACCGGGATCTTACACATCAAAGATCTGTGAAGCGTGCAAGTTGCGCTTCGGCACAGATGTCGGGATCAGCTGTTTTGGAGTACCTTCAAGCACGCCTTGCCGGCGCAGCGTTTGAAACCTTGGTGCTGTCACACGGAGAGTGTGGATCAGGCTTGGGACATCTTTCGAGTCACGGAAATCGGCATCCCTTTGGATGTGCTGGACCTCGTTCCATCTATCCCCGAAAACGACCGGGCGGAGGTGGGGGGTTTCCAGTGACCGGTCTGTTTCAGAGCGCCACACAAATCCCGCCTCCCAAGGCCTTCCTTTAGCCCTCCGGCATGATTCACG